TACAATAATTCAATATGCTAAAAGTACAGTACTAAAATAAAATAAAATAATTACCCATCTAGTATTGTTACATAATTATTCATACTATTATACACCTTCTTGGTTGGGTAAGCTTATACTTAAAAGTTAAAGTTATCAGAAGTAGAAACTATTGTTTTAAATTAAAATTTAATAGTACGATACCTCTTGATGTATATTGTGATATTGTCACTTATTTTATGGCCTTATGCCATGATTCCACGTAATAAAAATTGAACATTTCACGCATATTATGATGTCGCGTGTTACTTTTCGGTTATCACTTATACTACAGACCTAAAAAAATTATTTAAAATTATTTTTCTTTTATAATGAAGAACATTTATATAGGCAATAAAAAAATTACTCATCATGAGTTTAAAAATATATATTGAATTATAATTATTATAATAATTTTTAATTAATCAATGCCTGTATATGGCTTATATTTTATATGATACAGGCAATTTAAGCTTTTGTCATTTTTATCGTGAATTACAATTTTTTTGAGGTGTAACCTATTTGTATCAAGAAAGTTTGCTAAAATATATTTCTATGATTGAATTAAAGTTTATTTTTTTAGATACCTAATACATTTTTATGAAAATAATTTTATACTATGCTGATAATTAAATCTTTCATCATTTTAGACTTGAACAAAGATAACAAGACTGAAACGGTGCAAGGCCATAACGAGCCAGTAGAATTAAGTTTTGAGCAGCAGCAGCAGCAGCAGCAGCAGCAGCAACAACAGCAGCAGCATGTAGCTGAACAGCCTAGTAGCTCAAAACCTGAACGACCCAACTCGCTTACAGGTCCTGGTGGCACGCTCACCAGACGCCTGTTCTGTTACCATGCACCTAATCAGTCCTTATTGGTAGGATCCGGTCAGTCACCTACCAGACCTCCAAATTCACTATTGCCACCAGGTAATTTTATCACTAAATGGCAGATATACATGTACATGAGACCATTTGCTAATATATTATTTTTTTATGATTACAGGTAGTGAATCTCCGAAGTTAAATTGTGATAGGACATCTTCGATGATTATGCCTGGACAAAATATGTCTCAGATGGCCAGTGGTGTTAGGACAGGCTATTATCATTCCAGCCCTAGGATGATGTATAACAATCATCCTGGGCATTCATCATTAATGCTTTCTGATTTACCTGAACCCCCTATACCGGTGTCTGAAGTCGGCCCAATTCCTCCACCACCCATGTTCAGCTCACCAGCTCAACAATCATACTTATACCAACGTAATAAAATTATAAACAATAAGCGTTGTCAAATATCTAAAGTGTTTTGTCCATTTAGATAATAATCGTCAAAATCATAGTGCCAATGATAATAATGATGAGGAAATGGAAATGGGAACTAATGAAGATGATTATGATGATGATGACTATGATGAAGAAGAAGATGATGACGATGATGAAGAAGAAGTAGATGATGATGATGATTCTAATGGATTTAGAATAAGAAGTCGTCACAATTTTCCTAGTCATATAGAGCAGATTCCTGCTAAAGAACCTGTCTTCAATGCACAACCTCTTAAGTCAGCACTGAAAAAACCATCAACACCTAATCAAAGTCAAGAATCATCACAATTGCTCAAGTATGTTGTTGAATAATAAATATTAAATTAAAAGAAGTAAATAAAAATAATTTGCAATAGTCGAGGTTATAAGAAAGAAAAGTGAATAGTTTGCCATTTTGCCAATTGTTTGGCAATTGTTTGGCTCTTCATTTCATTATTTTATTTTTCTTAATTTGTTTATCGCTGCATAGCAGAAGGGCTCCACTTAAGCCCAGGATACGTTTTTGGTAAATTTAGTTTAATTTTTAAATTGTTCTACTGTTAAATTATTTTTCAATTAAATTACAGTGGTGCTAATCGTCCAGTAGTGTTTGGAATTTCACTACCTTGTTCATTACAAGAAAATAAAGAAAATGCTAGACCTAATGAGTCTAGTGATGATGACAGTTCTGGTGATGGACCCATATTGTACAGAGATGATAATTTAGATAGTAAGTTAATTTAACTATTAATTGTAGTTATACTTAAATTTTTCCAAACCAATCTTGGCTAGTAATATGAGTACTACTTCACAATTGTAATTCATATTTAGATCGATTGGCTGAAAAAATTGCTAGGAAAGACAGTCTTGCTATTAAATTGGCCTTACGTCCCAATCGACAAGAGCTCATTAATCGTAATATTCTTCAAGTCCAGAGTGATAAAGAGCGACAAGAGACAAAAGAAGTCATTGGTGCACGTCTTATAAGGTATTTAAATGATATTGTAACTACTTATTATAACCTTCTTAAGTATTAATTTATTTTTCTTACTGAATTAATATAAATTAAAATCAACTTTTAGGCGTTTGAGCATGCGACCAACCCAGGAAGAACTCGAAGAAAGAAATATCTTAAAAAGTAAAATATTTTGTTCAACTTATTATAATTAGAATTCAATTTTTCATTACTAAATTAAATTTTAGAACAAACAGCTGCAGAAGAAAAAAAATTAAAAGAAGAAAAGAAACGCATGTTGTTAAGAAAATTAAGTTTTAGGCCAACAGTTGACGAATTGAAAGAAAAAAAAGTAAGTGTTATTTCATTTTAAACTTTATATGTATGAATTTAACATTTTTGAATTCTAAAAATTTTAGATTATTCGATTCAATGATTACATAGAAGTAACACAAGCACACGACTATGATCGGCGGGCCGATAAACCATGGACTAGGTTGACAACCAAAGATAAAGCAGCTATACGAAAAGAACTAAATGAATTTAAAAGCTCAGAAATGGAAGTGCATCAAGAAAGTAAACATCTTACCAGGTTAGTTTTAAACTCATTGCTACTGCATTTTATAACAAACAAAATAACTTAGATCTCTAAATAATTAGGTATCATAAAAAAAAATATCATATGTACTGCATATAATAATATATCTGAAAATATAAGTGACTTGTAAAATCTTTGAATAGTACATGATTAATTGTAATTGTAATTTTTGTTTTTAAAGTAACAAACTTAATATCTACCTAATGGTTGGTGATATATAAGATATATATTTTTAATATTAATACAATTATTAATTATATTATGACTCATTTAAATAAATACAATATTTTTAAGATTTAATATACATGATAAACTCTTGATTACCCACAAATTACGGAGGTGCAACAACCGCAGATAAGCAAATTCCACGGTAATCCACATAATAACAGAAAAATAACACTTATTGAAACAAAAATGTTATAGCTAAATAAATAAAATATATTATGTAATATTAAGCCTCAGACCAATGTCTGTCTAGTTTTGTCAGATTACACTCATTGTTTCTAACGATCGGCCGCCGCTTAAAAATTGCTCTAAAGTGACACTTGCAAGAGAATAACACTCGGGGCATGTTAGCCACCCCCATTTCTCCTGCCAGAGGTTACTTTTATTTGAGACATCTTAAGTGTAGTGTATTAAATGAAAAAAATATTTATTGGATTTTTATTTACTCATACCACAGATTATATTAAACTTAACATTTTTTAATATAATCTGTGCTCATACATTGGACTGATTCGTTGAACCATAATGATTTTTGTTGTATTCATGATGTAATGTATGTACGTATTAAATAATTTTATATGTAATTTAGCGACTAATCACCGATAATCGAGAACGTACTGTGTGTATAATTATTCTGCTCAAGTGTTTGAATCTCTTCCATGATATAATACTACTTAGTAAATGCTACACTATCATAATATGTAATGACTGATAAATCATAGTTTTACATGATGTTGATATTGAATTGTTTTTGAGAAACTATATATTTAATTTGTAGATTTCCAAGTTATTCATAAGTATAAAGATAGATAAAAGTCTGATTTCTCAATCGTTATAAATTATTAAATGTTTAGTTTTAGGGTATTTATTTATAAATCATATGGTGTAAAATTGTAAAACCATATTCATATAATGTTAACACTTAATATACTTTTTGTTTACAGATTCCATCGACCGTGAACTTAACAGATATTCTCACATGTCATAAAAACTAAATTTATATATATATCTATTAAAAAAAAGAGCAAGAAGAAAGAATATTAGTCAGAATTGGCTGTTAATTATTCTTGTTTAGATAAAAAGTAGGTTTTATATACACATATATTAGTAAATTAAATATTTAAAAATCAACAAAAATATTTAATAACTTAATAATGTATTAAACAATTTTTATCAGGCGATAGAAAAAAAATATAAATTATGATAAATATTAGAATATCTTATTTTGACGAGAAGCTTTTGTCCGTCCACATAGTGATTATGTGCAATATTTATTATGCAATAACTGCAATATATATTATACATATATATATAAAGAATAATTAAAGTACTAATAATTACTACTTCTGCTTCTTTTACATTCCCCCAAATGCCCCTCCTTTTATTAAATAATTTTTCGTCCCTTCTTTTATTTATTTTTTGTTATTGTTCATAATTTCAATATAAAAAATATATTGTACAATTACCATGTTGAAAATGAAAGCTCATTGTTTTGTTTGTTTTTTTTTTTTTTGTAATTGTAACTAAGAAAAAAATTTAATATAATTTAATTAATTGTATCTATTAAATATCTTATTTATTTTCTGAATTAGATTTATTTATTTATTATTATTATTATTATTATTATTATTATTATTACATGTAAATAGTTGTAGATTATTTCTACACAATGATATACAATTCTCTTCCTATACCAATTATTTTTTGTAGTATAAAATTGTAATTGTAATACATTATGTTTTTTTAACAACAAATTAAAAAAAATATATATTAAAATAATATTAATTTGTATCTTCTAACAATCATCCTATTTTAGTATCTGACAATGGATTTGAAAAAATACCAGTAACTTTATTTTTAAATTGCAATAAAATTGAAGTCAAGAAACTTAGTCACAAACAGTGTATAAAATGGTTTTCAATATATTTAGCAATGAAAATATAATACACACTAAAAATATCAAAACTTCAACATCTTATATTCAACATTATCATCCATCTTAACTTAGCTGGATTGCTGGAACTACACAGAATGCTTGACGTAGCAGTTTTATATTATTAGCAAATAGCCAGACAGATATTTCAATGATTGTTCTATATCTAAAATGATTTGCAACATAAATCATTCTGCATAGCTACAGCCTTAATCACAGATAATTTCTAATACTAGTATGAGCAAATAATAAACACATGTTGTAACAGAAACATACAATTTAAAACAATATTTCACTAATAACTAATGGACGTTTTGAACAAACATAAAATAATTTCCCCTCTAATTAAGTAGATAACATTTTAATGACAACAATAAGGAAATATTGAAATTTCACCAACCAAATTCATGAGATGTATTTAACGAACATGTTTGTTTGGTAGCAATGAATGGGTTTGATACTCCAAGCACTGAATTATTGGTACTACTAAAATATATTAGTCTGTAAGTGCCTGGATTTAGCACTGAAGTTTCTGAAAATTTCAAACACACTCTTTTTGAACCATCTGAAAATACTTCTGGAACAAATTTTACTCTACAGACAGATGTCATGTTATCAAATCGTCTATATTCATCATTTGATTCTTCACATTCCATGGTCTCTGAAGGTAAGTACACATACGATATATAGTCATCAAGACTAGTATATGTCTCCTAAAACATATGTAAATTAAGATTTTAAATTCTTAAGTTTAAAATTAATTTTACATACTTTGAATACTCCTATCCAATCATTCACCCATGGGATATATTCTTTTATCTGCAAATTAACTTCATTTTCTGTTTCTAATTGCCATGTCTTAATTCGTTGGAAAATTACAGGTTGGTCAACATTGTTGTAATGTCCTTCACTAGAGATCTATAAAAAAAATTATAGAGTAATAAGTAATAGACCAATTTATGGAGATGTTTATGCTATATTACTTGAACACTGGATTCGCTATAAACTGGTCTATGGTCACTTAATCGTATTGAATCAATGTACTTATACGATAGTACCTCTAGTACACACTTTTCATTTGACGAATCAATAGTTTTGTATAAAATGCGATCTGTCCATGCAGGTCTTCTCCTAAAAACAAAATTTGATTTAAGAAACATATTTATACATATATCCATATTGATATCTACAGGTAAGACATACTTGAGATCATAACTGCTGGAACCAAAAATATATCGATAGGTGGGTGGAAACATTGGCAATTGTTCAAAAAATCCTTTAAAAGCTTTGGATTTCTGCATGACTGAACTTAACTCATCTTGTGCCCAAATATCAGTTAATGTTGTTGCAGTTCTTAGCGACAAATTCACATTAGTAATGTGGCGAGCAATTTCTTCAGCTGACTTAAATTTACTACCATCCAAACGAAAATTTAGATCGCCAAACCAAAAAACATAGCTAAAGAATAGTAAATATAAATTAATAAAAATAAATTTTTAAATACCTAATATAATAGGAAATGTAATTCTTTTACAGTGTAATTTAAATGTTAGTACCTATTTGTTAGAATAAAAAATTATGTTTTAAGAAAAAAAATTTGGCAATATTAGAATAATTTTATTTGGCATAACCCATTTATAAAACAAACAATTATTCAAATTTCTCAAAGCCAAATTTAAACTGTTATTAAAAACGACTAAAATATTTTAAGCATCTCATAAATATAATATGTAAAATTTTCATAACACCAAAAATTTATTGCTGAAATTAGTCATTAAATGAGGTAATTTACATACTCATGATTTAGAATAGTTTTTCTAGATGAACCAAAATGTTGACTCTCAACGATTGTGTGATAATCATTAATTCTGTGTTTTAAATATTCTTCATGAGCAGCAAAGTGACAGTTAACACAGCATATTGTCGCCCCGTAAATTTTAAAACTAAAACTGACGGCACCTTTATTTCCCTAAAAATTAAAAAAGTTCAACAACAATTTCAACATTTTCAAACTAATAAGTAATAATAAACCAATAATTACCCAAAGACCCAAAAGTCCAGTACGTGTTTCTGAAGTTTGCATTTCTTTTAAAAGAGGCACATGTTTACGTTTACAAAATACATTTAGCAGCAACCCAACCATTTTTACGGTACGTATCTTAACATAATGATAGCCACTTAAAATGTCCCTATATAATATAAATTTAACTATAATACAATTAATTACATTTTAATATTAAAATGGTAAATGCTATAATTGAACCTAAGAGCTGCTGTCCACGGGTCATCGAATACTGAATCGAGTAATAAGTTTTGAGGTTGAGCCTTGATTTCTTGAAACCTTAAATTTGAAAATAAACAATATAAATAATAAATCAAAATGCAACTACTACTTTTTGCTACAAATAAAATCAAATATTTCAATGAACTAATTTAAATAAAACACTAATGCATTACATATTTATCCATACAAAATTTATCTAATTTTTTCATCTATAAAACAAAACTGTTTTCACCTATATGAAAGATTTGTGAAGATATATTGATGTAAAAATCTTTTACTTAAAATAAGTAAATTAAAATAGAATACATTATATATTATTTATGTAATAAATGGTTATTGAGGAGTATATGGTATATTTAACAGAATTTATTTTTCTAGAATAACCATGCATAATATATTAGCTAAGCATCCATTTTCATCATGATATATCAATATAGGTAACATAAAACATTGAAATATTTATTTTAGTTGGTATAAAAGTACTTGAGAATTTCATGCATCGAAACATCATATCAAATCTCAAGTTCTTTTATGGCCATTTAGTTTTTAGAATATTACATTAGTATTAGGCTAACTTTTATCGCATGCATACAAAATATACATTGAAGTGGATTGTAAATATAATTTTTTTAAGAAGACTTAAATAACAATAAATTACAAAAACCAACATATTTGAAGGCACCTTATAGATATTTTCTAAATCTATATTAATTAAGTCATAAAAAAGCTTTAACTGAAAATAATGTAATATATTTCAGGCTTAAAATATTTAGTTTTATTATTTTTTTCCTGTAGTTAGTGTGCACTGTTACAAATACTGAAATACACAAACCCTAATTTTTATAAATAATAGGTATAAGGTTTTAAGTAGAGTGAGCTATTTTATTTTTGCAAATAAACAGAAAATACCAGCTATTATACAGTGTAGTTTAAAATTAGAATAAAAAAAAATATATATTTGAAATGAAGATTCAATATAACATAATTAATAATAATAATTAACTAATTATTGAGTAATGTTAATATAAAACCTACATTTTTAGTATTTTTACATCTTTTGAGTTCTGAAGGTCATATTTGACAAATTTAAGTTTTAATTTGCAGTAGCATTATGAACCGGTGTATAACGCATGTACATAAAAATATATTTTATAATTAATTATAATAATCACAGATTATAAGTTCAATTATGATCATCATAGAAAATGCAAATCATACAATGACTAGTATAAAGTTTAATATTATAAACATTAAAATATTCAAGTAAGAAAGTGGGGATATAATTTTATTTTGTATGTTATAAACAAGTTTTTTCAATAGTTTTATAAGACTAAATACAACATTTCATAAATATTTGTTACATAACATAGATATAAAATAAATGGAACTATACCATAAATAGGTATTATTCTGTCAGATAATAAATAATTAGCTAGATAAAACATTATTGCTATTGTTAATAGGTAGCAGGTACATAATAAGTTCATAAATAATGAAATTATGAATCATACAAATTTGTAAAAAACAACATTCAAAAATAACCGACTATGTGGATCATGGGTGCCATGAAATTAAGTTTTTTATTAGTTTTTTTGCCAACGAGTTTTAAGAATTCTGAATTGTTATGGTCCATTTAATATCATGATTTTTTTCACACAACCATTTTAAATATTTTCTGGTACCTGCGACTAATAAAATTATGTATGATTACAACTTTTTTTTAACACTTTTAAATTCAGAAAAAATGTAAATAATTGACTATGTGATTGTAACACTTTCTTTAAGTTGCATTGACCATTAGGTGACATCAGATATAACAGTGATCAGTTCCAATAGTTATAGGTTTTAAAATATCAAAGATTTCTGCGTAATACGTGCAGCATAAGTAACATCTAACAAAACTCACCCAAATAAACAAAAATCTGGTAGCTGGCGTTCAGTGCGGCCGTTCCATTGCAGCAAATCTTCCAGAGGTTGTCTGGGAGATCTAGTGGCAACGTTGAATGTTACGGTATAGAATCTGGTAGAGCAAAAACAAAGATTGTCATTAGGTTCAAATGGTCGTATCATTGAGCATAATATTTTAAGAGTTGTGCCCCATTGCTTACGTTAAATCACCCATTTTCGCTCGTCCATGAGAAGGGACTGCCGGGCTTAAGTCAACAGCCTTGTGGACAGACGGTCTTCACGCAAGACACCGACTGCTGTCTTGGTCTGCGGAGAACACTGCAGTGAGGTACGGCCGAAAATTGAAGTCCATAGCCGGACGTAATTCAGACGGAAATGGGGAACCGGTCGCGAAGATCAAGGTGATCAATGATCAAACACTTCTCCTCAGATTATTACGCGTCAGCACTCGTCGTGTCGGCGATGATAAGAACAGAGCGCAGACCGATCGTCCTCGGGCCGCGTACATTTGACTACTATCGCGAGTCGGTTGCAGCGAAAGCGGTAAAACTAGTACAAGTACCTGTAGTAGTAGGAACAACAATAGCAACAACAGCAGCAGCAGTAGTAGTAGTAGTAAAACTCATAGGCTGACGACGATTGTTGTAGCGGCGGTGTCGGTGATTTGCAGCGAATCCAATGTCGTCGTGGTATACCATTTTTTTTACGTTTACAACAATACGCCGTCCGGTGGCCACCGCCTTAGGTGGGGAAGATTCTATAGTGCGTCGTGCGTATTAGTTGTGCAATCACAACATTGGGAATAGGCCACTATTATTATTATTATTATTGTTAATGCGGAAGGAGTGTAGGTACGCGACTTTCTTTTCACTTCACCAATCACTATACTCACTCTTTACAGAACGTTAGGAGCATCTACACTTATCGTTTGGGATATTTTTTTATAGTGGTTGTTTATATTTTTGTTCCGAATTTCCCCGCGGCACCCGTACGTGTTATCAGCGGTGATAACGACTACGCGGCCTTGACCGTCGGTGACCTAGTGCCGACCGCACACGATGTTTATAGTACACCGCTGCAGCAGCTGCTGCACTACTGCAGTTACTTGACTACTTGAGTTAATACTGTTACAGGGGTCAGGACCACGGTTATGCGTTGGATTGGTGCTCGTTTGTGGCTCAAACGAATGTGCGGTTAACGGTTACAATTCCGTGACTGCACCGCAACCAATTTTGAGGAGCGCTTCTTTAAATTGTAATATCGAACTTGTTGATAGGTAATGCCTATATTGTCGTAATTCGCGTAAAAATTATTATAAAGTTTATTACGTAGGTAACTTATTTTCATTTTTTTTTTTACATTTTTAATAGCTTTTAGTGTTCATAACTCTACTAGAATGTTAGAATAATTACAAATAAAAATAAATCCCAACGTAAATATCGAACACATTTTTACGCTTATCGATATCAACTATTATTATTTATTATTAATATAATGTAAATGGAGAGATCAGTTAAAATGGGCAGATGAAATAATTCTTGTGCAATCGAATCGTAAACAATCGATTGTCGTAATATTATAGAGGTAATGATATATTGATATGATATAAATGGACGAAGGTAAAGTATATAACTATAAAAGTATATCAAATGTTGTATTTAAGACAGAGGGAATTTACTCAATAAATATTAAAACCAGCTACCACGACAACTAAGGCCACTGGCCTGATTTTACACATATATTAATTCAGTGACGTCTCATAATGTTAAAAAAATATTTTTGACAATTAACCGTCCTGAAAAGGCCGAAACTCCTTATCGGGGCAACCCGGAGGCCATAGAGTAATATTATTCTATGCCGCCTATATTTAAAACCAGTACTAGTCCTTCCAAAACCAGGACTTGTGGCAATATTCTAACCCAAATTTCATCAACTTTTATCTGCTCGCTATTTCAGTGTCATCATTTCAATTTTTAATAGGAGGGGGCAAAAGTTCTGACCAGCTCATATGATGGTGAACCAAAAAAAAATATATAACCGGTCGCTTGCTCGTTACCTGATTTCCACTTACATTTTTATCCCAACAAAATTCTCATTTTACATAACTTTATACTTGTCTGAGGCAAAAATAGCATAATTTACAGCAAAACAGACTTTAAAGTAGGTAGTTTGTTTAATCCGTAAACATAGATATTCTAACCCGTACGACCTTATCTAATTTAATATAATTTGAATTTTTTTACTTCGTAATTGTACAATGACTAATGAGTAAATTTATCATTAGGTATATAATATTGTTTACTATGAATTATGATCGTACCTATATTCGTATCTACTTGCACTATAATATAACTTATCATTTTTTGTTCATCAGGTTAAAAAAATGTATTATTATATTTAATTTATCAACAATAAATTCGATGTTTCTATGTTCAGATGACTTTGTCAGGGAAACTTTATTTAAAAAAACCACTCTAGTAAAAAGTATTTATTTAGTCTATTCGTATTCAGTACTCGTACATTGATAATTTCAATAGGTATATTTAGATGTATAAATCAAAATTCTATTGAGTAATGACTAAAATTCAATGACACACTGACATGAGTATTACAGTATACCTAGGACCTATACCGGCTACCATGAGAAAGTCACAACTTATACCTACTACTATATAATTGATGTAACACAATAAACAATAATTAAAATGTCAATGTCGTACTGTCGTATGTACCTACTACAATATATTCTGAAACAAAAAAAAAATGGTAGGCAATCATTATACAATTTGTGTTATTTTTACAAAGACTGCGTATTGCATAAGTGAATATTATCTGTCAGTCGGCATACCCGGTACCCGCTTCAATACTATTTTTATTATCATAGATTTCAACAGTTAGTATCCAATAATGTTAGGTAGGTACTAACTACTAGGTAGTACCTAACTGCATAATGCGTTATGTTGGGTAGGTATTAAAAATTAGTTTTTATTCCTATAATAGTAGTATAGTACCTATAGCACGTTACCGTTTCAAGCACAGTGGCGTAATTTCGATTTTTATTTTAATATAGGCTGCACTGCTGCAGTACTGTTGACGTAACTTGGGACATTTATATGGGAGGAGAGGAAACTTTATTTTATATCGATATACTACATACTTAAATACTAGATGTTATACTTGATCTGTGAAAAGTACAACATAATATTATCTAAGACAAATGTTTATTGTAGCATGTAAAATTAAATTACACACATTTTTCAAATAGAAAAATATTGATGAAATGATAGCATATTAGCATATTAATGTGATCAAATACTTACTCAATGTTATAGTACATATTTTTGTATATTTTCACATTTTTGTGTTTAATGGACATATTTTTGATTATAAGATCATATTTTAAGTTTTTAGTGTTTTTGATAGTTTATCAAAAATCAGCAGTCCGAACAATTTTTTCTAGAATCAACAATTATATTAAATTTGAAGAAGAATGAGAAATTAGTATTGACTGTATTATTTTTTTTTATACATATCATAGTATCATAGGTACATAAAAATAAAATAATTATTAAACTATCAAAAAAGAAAAAAATCAATTTTTTTATTATGTAAAATTATTCTTAGTGCATAATTTACGTGCTAACTTAATAAATAAATAATAATAATATTATATTAATAAAATATTTAAAGAAAAAATGTAATTTTTTAGTGAAATATGGTTGGGTTATATTTTTTTAAATACATTAAATAGTCATGTAATAAATCTTTCTTTGCAAATGGTGTTTCTCATAAATGTTCTGAGGCGACGAAGAAATGCAAACCAACGTTCACTCAAAGCAGAACTCATTGGATAGATTTAACAATGTCTTGACATAGTATATTAGTATATACATATTGTCAAATGAATTAATTAAGTCATTTACAAATACAAATTTAAACGAGTTTCAAAATATTCAGTAATATTAGTTGGTAAATAGTAAATACAATTTCTTACTAGTTACTTTCAATCACCAAAGTCTTGATCAATATTGTTGGTGTAAAAAATGTCTAAAATATCTTCAGTCTCGAAATTAAAGTTCACCTTAGTTTTGTTTTTACTCGAAAATTACGAAAGAATAGAGATAAATTCTGATATTATGATGTATTAATGGCAAATGGCAATAATAGAAAATGTTGATTTATTAATTAATTTTTTTCTTTAGTTCATCGTTTAAAATATTATAGGTACTATTCTTGATGAAATAATTCTTACTTTATCATACTATTCATACTTAAAATGCCTTTTTATAATATTATCATAATTTATTTACAAAATACCAAGGCGTGCATCTCTCCCCCCCCCCAGTTTACGCCAATGTACAAACAATTTCTAAAATAAAATTCATCTATTCTTCAGGTCAGTCAACATAAGGAGTGGGCCATAAATCACAATAGTATTGTAACTTAAATACGCAAATCGTATGCAGTATGCCCTTCCGCGATCCAAATGAAGCCACTTAGCCACAGATATAATATATTTTAAATTCTGAGAGAGCGATGAATAAATTATTGGTCTTACGTTATTTTTCTGGCATTACCTTATAGAACTGTATAATGTTATCAATTTCCTACTATATAATTATCACACTAACTGGTGGCAAATTAGATCTATAGTTGAAACTCCGCATAGAGGTAAACAGCAAAAGAAATGTGCTTTAAAAATAATCAGGAATATTCAATACATACTAATATAAGAATATTAAATTAAGATATAATTATCAAAACACATTCTCTTAATTCTCATAACCTATTTATAGAGATTTGAATTTATCGGTTTATGTACACTTTTAATTGAAAGTCAAATAAAGCTTGAAAATCAAATTCAACCATCCATATTAGTTGTTCTTACAGCAATTTAAAAGTGTCGAAAACCCATGGCCCCGATTTTTTTTTTTTATGGACAATTATGTTATAATACTAAGTACTGTGGCCTGGTGAGGCGCAGTCGTACGCTCAATATGCGGCAACGCTCTGAACGTAGATATCAGCCGACGTTGCTAGCACTCTGATGGGTGACCATCCGGATTTATAGCAACACATACAAACGTGTTCCACCTCCCCCCCCACACAGTACCAGGATAATGACCTTTGTAGTTGACACCTTAATCCAAAAAAAAATACCAAGTAACATGGCATATTAATTCAATTTACTGTATTACTTATAACAAAATAAACAACTAGTGGGTTCTATTAGTGATCATATAATCTGTTTAAAGATATAGACTGACGACTCACTACACAGCAGAGCAATTTTTTTTTAATTTTAAATTTAGCTTTGAATAACTAATGTGCAGTCTTATCAACTCCTATCTGTTCGTTCCATCAGTATGTTTCCTATGAAAAAACGCATACACAGGACAGGTAGTATTGTAATATATTATCGTATGACGTATAGTTAAAGTAATGAGTATATAACTAATATAAGTACACTTCTGAGTTCATAATAAATTTTAATATTATTGAGCATCACTGAAACCTTACCATGCCCAAATTTGTTGAGTGATAACTAATAAGATATAATATTAAAGAGATTCCTGGATGCATATAATAGATTACTAGGATAACTTTAACAAAGTTAAAATATTATCTCATGCATTTTATTTTAGTTCAAAATGAACCAACTATTTGAGACACGACTGAAGTCAATAACAGGTAATTTGGAGAAAACAAGGAAAAACTGTTTTTACGCTACAAGTGATACATGGTTATTTCTCTTTCATACTGATTATTAACAGTGGTTATATTTTGTGACATATGTCAATTCTCAGATATGTAGCAAGTATAAAAAATTGTTTATAATTGCAGATTCGTAGTTACCAACATACATACTTTTTGTTATAAAAAACAAAAAAATCTAATAAGATTAATGCAGTCCATGGTATTAATTTAAC